CCCACCCCCATCCCCACCCGCTTCCCCTTGTAGCTGTCTGCCCCCTGCTCCTTGGCCAAGGCGGAGAAGCAGCAGGCCCATTATTGTCCCTCATCCTGGAAAAAGTACCAAAGCATGCATTCTTTGACAGGAAGTTACCAAGGCCTTCTTTGCTCAAGAACAGGTGAGAGGAAAGATCTATTTCGGTAGCTGTGAACTTCGTAAGATAGGCCCTGAGCAGCAGTCAAGGAAAATCAGGACAGGAAGCTGGGATTAGCACCCCGTGCATGCCCTGCCCCCACCCCCCACGTCTGTTCAGCAGCCCTTCCCGGCAGTCCTGGCGTCTAAAATCAGAAAGACCGGTTCCACCTCCTCCTCTGAGCCTCAGTCCCTGTCTCCAGGGGAGTGGGTGGGGGTGGGGTCTGTGGACAGCGCATTTGCTGCCCTTGTGGGTCTAATGCAGCGGTTCTCAACCTGTGGGTCACGACCCATTTGGGGGTCGAACGACCCTTTCCCAGGGGTCGCCTAAATACATCCTGCATATCAGATATTTACATGACGATTCATAACAGTAGCAACATTACAGTTATGAAGTAGCAACGAAAATAATTTTATGGTTGGGGGTCACCACAACATGAGGAACTGTATTAAAGGCTCGCGGCATTAGGAAGGTTGAGAACCACTGGTCTAATGGCTTCAACAACCACCAACAGAGATGGGGCACTGAGGTCACAGGCCCGGGGAGTGGGAGGGCACCTTTCCCGCTCCACCCTCTTCCAGGGAGAAAGACACACCTGTCCTTGAGCTCACCATCAGCTGCCTCCACCGAGGAGGTGCGTGTGTGTGCAAGGCACCTTCTGAACACGGGGACACCATTCTGTAGCCTCCTGGTTCCAGCGCTGTTGGGAGTGAAGACCCACCCATGAAAAGAGCGAAGATACAAGACTGCAAAGTCGCCGTGGATCCTGAAGAGAGAGGACTCCTCACTGAGGGATGAGTTCTGAGGGAGGGGAGGCCCTCTGTGGGTAGAAAGGGCACCCCAAGCTGGGGTACTGCCCGAGCAGAGGTGCAGGGTGTGGACAGGGCCGGTGATGATCCAGTGAGTCAAACTGTCTGGTTGAGCTGGAGGAGCTGCGCAGCAGGAGGCCCCAGCAGCCCAGGCAGACACAGGTCAGACTCGAAGGCCTGGTTATGGAATTTGGGATTCACCCTGTGGGTAATGGAGAGCTCTTGGTGGGATGTGAGCACGAGAGAAATAAGGGGGCAACGTGCACACAGCCAGGTTTTAGGAATATTCATCGGGTTCCTCACATCTTTGCTTCTGTCAACCAGGATTAAAGAACAAATGTCCGATGGGGTGTCTTCCCAATGGAATACAATGACAATGTGGGTAGAGAACAAGCCTGTCAAACTAGTGGCCCGCCGGCCGCATGAGGCCCACAATGAATATTTTTGTGGCCCAGCCAATATAACGGTATGTAAGAAACGTTTTAATAAAAATTCCTTAACTTAATTTTTACAATATCCTGTTATTCATAATTATTAATAACGAGCTACAATGTCCGCTAATGACTGATGACTATCATCGTGTTGCATTCATTCCCCTTACGCGCCTTACTCGCAGGCCCACCATTTCTCTCCACTAATACTAGCAGCGAATATTTTAGCAGCCGATTGCCACGTCATTAGTCTTGTACTGACTTGTTTGCTGTGCGCAAGAGGAAATACTTCGCGTTCAGAGAACAAGAAAAATGGGTTTATTTGCCGTACGCTTATTCATCTGTGCAGTTATTCAGTGTCTGGTAAGTTAATGTTAAAGAAAAAATATTAATTTTTATTAAAATGTTCCATTATTTCATGTTAACAATGACTCATTTATTTCAGGCCTTTGTATCCAGCATGTCTCTATCAAAATAAACCTACGTTTCTATGAAAATTGAAGCTTTTGGTTTTTTTGCGGCCCGCATAAACTTAAACCTTGTTTATTTGGCCCGTGTTAGCCTTTGAGTTTGACATGCTCGGTACAGAATGTATCCATAGGGTGTTCCAAAGAAGTGTGTACACACTTTGAATAATTATTAATTCCAATGGTTCGTTCTTTTGAGATTTAACCCATTGGAAATAACTATTCAAAGTGTGTATACATTTTTGGGAGACACCCTGTATTAATGTGGAATGATGTCCAAAAGAGCTGAGAGAGCACTCAATAAGCATAGTAAGATCTTATTTCTATTTTTAAGATCACAGGTATATCTGTGCGTGTGTGTGTGCGTGCGTGCATGTATGTGTGCATGTGTGCTTGTGTGTGTGTGTGTAGAGAGGGAGGCAAGGAGGAAGGAAGAGAGGAAGAAAAAAAGAAAAGATACAGAGACAGGGAGAGAGGCAGGAAGAGAGAGAAGCAACTACAGAGTTGCTGTCAGGCCTGACCACACCTCCCAGCCTCCCCCAGGGGCTCCTGCGATTGATCCCTGCACTCGAATATACCGTCTCCACCTGGGGCGTTTTCTGGCCCCAGGGAGGCAGTCCGGAGGCTGTCCCAGGAGCAACTGAGGGGTCTTCCCCACCGTTTCTCAGCGCTCCCCGTGGCCTTGCGCCCCAGGGGTCCCAGTGACAGCCCGCTCACAAACGCACGGCCTATTGGCTTTTCTCCTCTTCCCACTTCACTCCCTCACCGTGCTTCCTGAGATTTCCTTCCAAAGAAACGGCATGCTCCCAAATCCAGACCTTTGGGGGCATCCAAACTGAGACACCAGCCCCCCACTCTCTCCCTGTCTGCCCCCAGGCTGCTGAAAACTCCAGGCAAAAGCTATCCTAGTAGCTCTAGGACAAATGTGTGTTTGGTGACGTGAAACACTGCAGTAAACATTAAAGAAAATGGGTCTAGGAATATAGTGGTCAGTGAATTAAGCTGAGGCAAACTGGAGGCAGGGAGGCCAGCAAGGAGGGAGGTCATCACCCTCCCCCTCCAAAGGGAGCCCAGAGCAGGCTGGAGGCGATGGGTTCAATACCTTCGGTAGAAGATTGCCCGTTAACCTACGCGAATCGTGTGCTTTGGAAGACAGGGCTGAACTAAAACGATCCTGCTTCTATTCGATCGGAGTTCTTGGTCAGAGGACACGGAAGCATTTGCTATTTGAAGAAAGAAAAACCGTGTGTCTCTCTGCCAGAGCTATTTTGCTTGTAGATCTAGCATCAGTCCGGCCGGGAGGGGCGTGTGCAGCTACTTGCCCCACCTACTATTCTTTCCCGTGAGCTGTGGACCACTCCACCTACTTCCTTTTCACTTGTTTGTTTTTTGTTTTGGCGGATTTTGTTTGCAGTCTCCCAAGATAATATGTACCCAAAGTCCTCCCTGTTGCCTTGGTAAAAATCTATTCCTGGGACTAAGCTAAACATGGAAAAAGATCACTCATCAAATGTGTTCATCGCAGCTTTATTCTTAGGAATTGAACATTGAATGTTACCCCGTATCTACTCATAGGGGAATGTGTGTGTAAAATCAAGGGGATTTATGGGACTGAAAAAAAGAGCTCCCACCTTACTCCCCCAGAAAAGGAGAGAAAAGGGCCGCGCCTAAGCATTCCTGTGGAAACTTCCCTGCTTCTTTCGGTCCCAGTGAGGACACAGCCAGCAGAGAGATGGCCCAGCCGGGGGCCCGTTTCTTGGGCTCAGTCCCTCAAGGAGCTAGACTGGAAGGAGCTAGCCTGGGGTGGGCAAACTTTTTGACTCAAGGGCCACAATGGGTTCTTAAACTGGACCGGAGGGCCGGAACAAAAGCATGGATGGAGTGTTTGTGTGAACTAATATAAATTCAAAGTAAACATCATTACATAAAAGGGTACAGTCTTTTTTTTTTTTTAGTTTTATTCATTTCAAACGGGCTGGATCCGGCCCGCGGGCTGTAATTTGCCAACGGCTGAGCTAGACTAAGAGGGTTGGAGGAGAGGAGTGGAACACCACTTTGCAGGACTCCACGCCCACCTGGGCATGACATGGTGGAGACGGTTCTTCTTGTGGTGTGGTTTTATTTTGTTTTTAGAGGCTCTGATGATGCTGTTTCTGCACATCGTGGTCACCCTGTGAGATGTGTGTATCGGGTTTTGTCCAAAAGACCCCGGGGGCACTTCTGGGGCCGGAGAAGCACACAGATCGCATCAGTAGGATGCCCGTGATGAGGACCGGTCTCAAAGTTCGTCTGCTGCCTTGGAATTGGGGTGCCAGCGACCATGGGGAGCACTTCCTGAAGCTCCCAGAA